GATACAAAGGAATGACAAGTAATATTGTGTGTAAAGAAAATTTGTCACTTGCTTTTTTTTTTCTTTTTTTTTTAGTTGTACAACTTGACATTCGTAGTCATTAAATCTAAACTTCTGTTAACCTGAGCTTTTTAAAAAATCATATTAAAGTATTATAAATACAAATATTACATTTATTATTAAACATTCATATTTATCATATTTATTAAATTTGGCAAAGAAACTACATTTTTTAAGATTTTTCCTTATTTTAAGATTTTCACCCTTATTAATATTTCCTATCAAATCAAGTGAAGGAAGATGTCATGGCCAAACCCCAAACATTTTTATCACTGAACAGTCCAAGATGTTTTCTTTAGGAAACTATAGCATGCATGATTTCAGAACAAGTCACTGCATGGATGCCATATCGATATATGAAAATGAATAACTGGGTCCTATGATAATAGATGATGAACATTATGGGTCGCCCTGGCTGGAGCAGATGCAATGACAGACATGGAGTCAGAGCATGTCTGAGGGAATTTGTAAAGATAAATTACATAATGCTGACCTACTTTCTTATTTATTTTTATTATTTAATCCCACTATATAGGCATTTTTTCCCCTCTGACGCTACATAATCCCTCATTTATCCACCACACTCTCCTTCTGTCTTCCACTCATTGTATGCATGCAATCCAGTATTGAAGTATTTAAATCAGGATGTTTTCTGTTTCTTAAAATCTTTATGATATAACAGGTTTATATCATAAAGTGTTCTGCTCAGTCTCTTCACCTCAGCATGTTCGGTGTGTGGGAGGACTTTAGAGTCACATTTTGATGAATGAAGCTTTCTTCCATCTAACATAAAATGCACTCAAATGGCAAATTATCTCACTACTGATTAACAATTTTTACAACGATATGTGATAGGTGTGAACCTTTCCCAACACAAACGTTCCATCCATTAATAACAAACATTAATGCTAAATCTGTGACTTGTCCCTGTTCTGTCTTCTCCACTCTTTTCTTTCCCTATAGTCCTCTTTTGCTTTCATCCTTTACATTAACAAACTTGATTGTTAATGTTTGTGCACGAGCTAGTCAGCACTTGCCATTTTTGCTAAGGCTCAGGATATATGGGGTGGATAAAAATATTATGTAACTGTCAGATCAGCTATTGAATCTATTATATGTTATGCTTTTACAATATGGTTTGGTAATTTGTCTGTTAAATTTAGGTCACGACTTCAAAATTTGGTTAGGACAGCCGGTGCTCCTAATTTATTTTCAGGAGATTTTTGAGAGGTCTGTGAAAAACCAGAGCCTTATAATTACTAGTGATTCAAGCCATATTCTCCATAAGGAGTAGCCTATGAGCTGATGCCCTCAGGTAGGAGATAGGGTACTTACCAACTTGAAAGTTAAATATGTACAAATTCTCCTTAATTACATTATAAATTACACTATTAAATAATACAAAATGATCTGTGTGTGTGGGTGAGGATATATAGGAAATGGGCATTGTGAAATGTATTTAGTGTAATATTAATATTGTGAAATTGTTGTTGTTTTTTGTGTAATTTTGTAAAGTTGACCTGCTTTCTTGACTGCTCAAGACAAATGTCTCTTTATGGAGACAATAAAGGATGCTAAATGAGTATTTCCCTAGTTTGCCATTCAATAGCTTACCTTTACATCCTTAACAGTGTTCATTGCGTCAATATATTGTCTGACTAAGAGATATAACATTTATTTAATGATAGGTTTACGAGCAAACAAATCAGCTCTCGATCATCTAAAATGTTGCTATACAACATTTAAAACGTACTTTTGTTTTATATTTCAGTCCATAGAACTTTCATGGACACCTGGTCGAAAGGTTTAAGGCTCATTAAGTTTCACATAATAAGGTGACAAGGACCTTCTATGCTTTATTTGCGTAAATTATTCTGTACTGAAAACATGTCACTGTCGACGATCTAACATGTATACATATTTTCTGCAGTGTGTGGGATTGAAAAATCTGAAATTCTAGGCGAACTACACGAAGACCTAAAGGACATCTGTACAAAACCAAACCACTAGAGGACGCTGTTGATCACGGATGAGAGAACGAGG